CTAGGGCTGAGAGAGAAGGACTGGCCCAAGGTCACCCAGCTGGCTTTGTGCCTAAGGCAGGACTACAACTCACTGTCTCCCGATTTCTAGCCTGGCACCTTAACCTCTACACCAAATTGGCTCTCTCTATAATACTACAGGTAGTCCCTAGTTTAAGAATGAGTTCCACTCCCAAGGTCTGTGCTTAAGTTGAATTTGTACGTAAGCTGGAACAGAATCATTACTGTTGAGTTAATTACACAAGTAGTATTGTGTAATTAACTCAAACCATTGTGCATTTAACTCGAATCCTTGTGTATTTAACTTGAATTTTGCTACAATAGGCTCCGTTCTTAACTATGGGTCATCCGTAAACCGGGCATTCTTAACCCGGGGACTATCTGTATATACTGGTTCACTACTACCATAGAAATACAAAAGTTGAATTTTGCTACAATAGGCTCCGTTCTTAACTATGGGTCATCCGTAAACCGGGCATTCTTAACCCGGGGACTATCTGTATATACTGGTTCACTACTACCATAGAAATACAAAAGTCCTAAAAGTAAAAGCATAAGAGAATAATGGATATCTTCTGTATCGCTGGGTCTGGCTCTGAAAAGAGAAGGAGTATGTTCTGTACAGAAAATGCCAGTGTTGAAAAGCCTTGCTGTAAGATCTACCATATGAAACATTGACTTTCTCTGTTGCCTTTAGAATACGATGACGTGGTTCAAGAAACCAAAAATATCCCATGCACACCGGGCACATATTTTATACAAAGGAGTGATGAAAGTGCAGACAAGAAAGCCTGCCAATTCAAGAGGTCCCAGTTGATGAAGTGCTCCGGATTACAGGATAAGACATTTGGATATTCCCAGGGGCAACCTTGCATATTGCTAAAGATGAATCGTGTATGTCACTTTATACTTGTTTATGTCCCCTCAGTATGGATCTTGCAGTGGGGCAAGTGATGTAGGTGGGAATTAAGCAATGGAGAACGGGCAATGGCCTCGCTTATGAGCATCTGATGTTCAGCTTGCAGTGGTTGCAAGGGGGAAGACGGAGTCTAAAGCGTACGTTCACACAGGCTTGGCTTTACTGCCTGGGGAATGAGTGCCATGTTCTCTTAGCAGTGACATGCCAACAACGTCTGCTAAGTTCCTTTTGAAGCCACAAGACCTTTATATCAACTTATTTTAATTTAAGAATTAATTAAATTATAAGAGAGAGATAGGATTTTTTATCCTGCCTTTATTCTTTTTATAAATAACTCAAGGCGGCAGACATACCCTAATACTCCTTCCTCCTCCTGTTTTCCCCACAAGAACAACCCTCTGAGGTGGGTTGGGCTGCGAGAAAGGGACTGGCCCAAAGTCACCCAGCCGGCTTTCGTGCCTAAGGCGGGACTAGAACTCATGGTCTCTTGCTTTCTAGCCGGGGGCCTTCACCACTAGGCCAAACTATAACTTAAACTAAATTAATTAAAACTGTAATGTGTTTTATTAAAGGTGCTGCTAATTTTTGTCTGAAAAGGAAGGGGAGGAAATAGGATTGTTTGCCAAGCCTCTCATTTTACGTTTATAGTCCTTAGTCAGTTTAAACCAGTGTTTCTCAAACTTGGCAACTTTAAGTTGTGTGGACTTCAACTCCCAGACTTCCCC